CTGGTCCAGGCCTGGAGGACCCCGGGCAGGATGGACCCGGAAAGGCGGTCAGGACACGCTTTTCCTCTGCTGCTGCTCCTTCCTGCCTTTCAACATCTGTAAAGTGACTCACTTCACGTATTTTCACGTACTCCACCCTTGTTCCCCCTACATGACATCGTGGGCAAAGACGCCAGTTTTATTGCACAAATGAATGTTATGTTCCCAGCTGTAACTGAACTTCCCTGGGACTCCAGGTCTGGAAAACAGGATCCTTTAAGTAAGTCCGGCTGTGAGAGCCTGCTTGGTCTCCTCTGCAAAATACAGCGAGGGTGCAGGTCACGGCTTCACTGGCAGAAGAGCTCTCCCTGGTGCCACATAAGTCACCGCCTCGCTGAGCCTCTGATTCCTTTTCTGTAAGGACAGGGTTTGAGGTTGGCAGGGAGGCGCAGGGCCAGCAGCGGGCACCCTTCTCAGCCGCTGGCAGACCCGTGGGGGTGTGGCTTTGATGCTGGGTCCACACAGCACCCCCTGCGAGGCCCCGGGGGCTGGAGGTGAAGGTCGGGTCCTTGGTGCCCTGGCTTCTTGGTGGCAGGCACCAGCAAACCCGAGGGGCCACCTGCAGGGGATGTGCCAAGGAAGGCCCGCCTCCCCCCACCGTCACCAGGAGCACTCACACCTTCATCCAGCAGAGCTCCGCCAAGGCCTGCTCTGCGCCTGTGCAGGATGCTCAGCTGTCCCTGATTTTCCACCAGCCCACTTTCTCTGCTCTCACCTGTTTTCCTGCTGGGAACAGCCTTTGCCCCTGAACGACCCGAAGGCGGGGGCTCCGGCCTGGGAAGCCAGGCTTTCTGAGGGCCTGGCGCTGTGACCACGGAGCCAGGCCAGGGTAGCAGCCTGGCGCCCAGGCCCGCTGCGTCAGGCCGGGCCCTGCCTGTCTCGCTCAGGAAGCCTGCGGACTGGAGGCTGAGCTTCCTCCGCCTTCTTCCCCTCCGGCAGGCGAGTGCAGAATGTCCACACGGGCCTGGACCTGGCTGTGCCGCAGCACCAGGAGGTGCGGGGCAAGATGATGTCCGGCCACGTGGAGTACCAGATCCTGGTGGTCACCCGGCTGGCTGCCTTCAAGTCGGCCAAGCACAAGCCCGAGGATGTGGTCCAATTCTTGGTGAGCTGGGGGCTCTGCCAGGGTGCTCCCGAGGGGGCCCGGGGTCCAGGTGGGCAGGCACACCCGCCGCCAGGGCATGAGTAGCATCGGGGAGCGGGCACTTCTGTAGCCAGCCGTCACTTAGGGCCTGAGAGGGCCAGAGCGTGCCGGCACTGCATGAGCTGGTGAAGAGACAGATGCAGACGGTGACAGGAGCACACGGGGGCTGGGGGAGGATAGAAGAGGGGCACCTAGCCTACCCTGGGGAGAGGGTCCGGGAAAGGGCTGTGGGCTCCCACACAGGGTTACGGGATCTCTGCACCAGAGTCCTGCAGCCCACCAGCTATGCCAGCATTTCAGCGGGGTCCGCAGGCGCAGCCCTGGCCTGGGAGTAGAAGTGAGATTTTTGGGTCTTCTTATTCGATGCTCCCACA